GGGCCCTGCCACCCTGCCTCTGGCCAAGCGGCAGCAGGTGGGCCTGAGGGGTGGAGGCAGAAGCAGCGGGGGTGGCCCATTGTAGTGGTGGGGGGTGGAGCAGCCAGGGAGGGAGGGAGGGACCCCGGGATCTGTATGGACCCAGGCTGTAAGGGAACCCTGGGGAAGCCCAGAATGGCTTCCCAAAGCTTGATTTTTGTTGGAGACAGCGTGGGAAGTTACTTGGTATTAAAGCAAGAATTATGGAGTGAAAAGCCAAATTCAAGCAAACAGTACATTTACCCACAGGACGGCTTACTTTATGAGCTTCCTTAGAAAGGTTGAGAAGGGCTGAGAAGGCACCAGGTCCAGAGGAGGAGAGGGATTTGCCCTCACCACAGGGCGGTGGCCGAGCTGGGACTGACTCTCAGGACACTTGACGCTACATTCACCGGCTGCCTCCACTAGAGGAGAAATCAGTATATTAGTGACTGGAAGTGTCCTGAGTGCCACTGAGTTGCCCTGTCCAAGCCATACCCTCTCGCTGGGCCTCCTTTTCTCCCAGCAAAGAGAAAAGGGGGTGGCCAGGTTACCTCCGGAGGCCGTTCATCGGTAACGTTTCCTCACCTCTAACTCCACAGTACAACTCTCTGCTGAGCAACATGAGCAGGATCTACTCCACCGCCAAGGTCTGCTTCCCCAACAAGACTGCCACCTGCTGGTCCCTGGACCCAGGTACGGCTCTGTCGCTTCTCTGCTGGGGTTTCCCAGCACTTGCCCATCACCCTGCTGCACCCAGGGGGACAGGGCCTGTGGCAAGAGCTGGTAAACCCAAAGGCATTGATCTCCAATGGGGGCTGGACTGTGCAGATGCCCCCACACCCCTGCTTCTCCTGGCAAACTGATTTCCGGAACCTCCAGCCCCCACCCCACCTCCGGGTGTGCCTTGGCCTCTCTCACCACAAGTCTTCCTGCTGGCTGCCTGCTGTTCCCTTTCATGGGTCTCACTTTCTCCGAGAGCCCTCCACGGGCCTTGGACCCCTCATGGCCTCCCCTTCCACCCTCCTCTCCGCCCACCCCAGCCCCCATTTGCTGGGCAGGCTTGGGATCAGCCACTCTCTCCAGCGAGCCATGAAGGGTCTGGCTGGGCTTTGGCCTCTGGATGTCCTCTTTGTGTCAACTACCGTAGACCATCATTTCCCTGGGGGCAGGGGCCCTGCCTGAGCTTGCTTTGTGCAGCTCCCAGCCCCTCCCACTCAGCCTGCAGGTGGCCCTTGGCTTTGGGGGTACCCTGACGTTGAGGAAGCGGGTGGGGATGGCGAGGACCAGTGTGGGTGTTCTGGTGAGGCTGTCACAGACCTCGACACAGAAAAGTAGCATCCTCACTGACCCTGCTGGCCTGTGTCTCAGAGCTCACCAACATCCTGGCTTCCTCACGAAGCTACGCCAAGCTGCTGTTTGCCTGGGAGGGCTGGCACGACACCGTGGGCATCCCGCTGAAACCCCTGTACCAGGACTTCACCGCCCTCAGCAACGAGGCCTACAAGCAGGATGGTGAGCGTGCCTCTCTCTGTCTGGGAGCGACAGCCCTTCCCAGCTTGCAAGGTCCCAGCTCTCATCTGCTGTCGCCACTGAGCCCCAACCCAAGGCAGCCAGAGCAGCTGGTATGATGATTCCGTGCACCGGGCCAAGGTCCCACGGCTGGTGGAGATGGGACCGCGCCTGTCCCTGTGTGCCTCTGGCAGCGCCACTGTCCTGCCCCCCGTCGCCATTGCCCCTCTTGCTGCTGCTCTGGGTACTGCTCCCAGGCCCTAGCACCACTCTTGGCCTCTGGTGTCCTCCAAGATCGGTTTCTCTGAGGCATGGAGCAGCCCCCTAGGTGGAAATTGTACAGCGGCAACCCCAAGCCACCCTGTCCAGCCAGCTGGCAGGTGCTTGGGCCTCAAACCACGAGAATCGCCAAATTGTAGCTCTGAGGTGGAGGCGCTGAGCCTCGGTCCTGAGCCACGTGCCACCCCCTTCCTCCCCCTCTAGGCTTCTCGGACACAGGGGCCTACTGGCGCTCCTGGTACGAGTCACCCACCTTCGAGGAGGATCTGGACCTCCTCTACCAACAGCTAGAGCCCCTCTACTTGAACCTCCACGCCTATGTCCGCCGCGCGCTGCACCGCCGATACGGGGACAGATATGTCAACCTCAGGGGACCCATCCCTGCTCACCTGCTGGGTAAGGACCTGGCCTTGCCTCCCGTAAGTCCCAGGGAAGCCTGGGTCCAGGGTGGGTTGTCATTGTCATGGCTCACACATGTGGGGCACTTTACTGTTCACTGCCAGCTCAGAGCGGGGAGCCTCTCATCTCTGTAGCATTCCTCCTGTACTGACAGGGACCCCGAAGCTCAGGCTGCACAGATGACTCGGCAGCCAGAGAGCTGGTAAAAGGTAGAGCTGGGTGTCAAACTGAAGGCTTTGGCTCCAGGCCCAGTGCAGGAGGAATCAGTCCTAGGTCTGGGCTGAGGAAGCAAGCCCGTGGCCCTGCCTCAGGGGTAGGAGGCAGGCAGCCCAGCACAGGTGGAAAGGACAGCACAGCTTGGCCTGGGCTCACACATGGCATCTTCCAGCCCCAGGGAGCATGGAGTGCTCAGCAGGGTGGGGATGGGACAGATGGGTGAGGCTCCAGGCCTGAGCCAGGTGTGCTGCCCTTGAGTGCCCCGGACTCCAGGTGCCAGGCAGCCAGCGTGCTGCTCAGCAACGCACCTGGGGAGGCAGGCAAGACTGGAGAAGGGCAAGCTGTCCTGCTCCCCTTGTCCATCCAGGAGACATGTGGGCCCAGAGCTGGGACAACATCTACGACATCGTGGTGCCTTTCCCAGACAAGCCCAACCTCGATGTCACTGAAACTATGGTTCAGAAGGTAAGCTCTGAGGCCAGGCCCAGGGTGCGGGCGGCAAGAGGAAGTCAGAGAGCAGGAAGGGGTCACTTGAGGGAGACAGGGTCAGGTAGGGCCCCCTTTCTACAGAGCAGCAGCCTGGAGTGTCTGTGGGAGCGGCAAGCTAGAGCTGGGTCTGTGTCCTTGGCAAGGTGCAGCCCGTCCCTGCAGGCCCCATGGTGGGGGTGTGGGCAGCAGTCTGCTTTCACTGATCTGCTGCGGTCAGTAAGGGCCCTGCCTCTGGGAAAGAAGGCCACGGAGCAGCGATGCCCTTCACGGGCAGGGGGCTGACTGAGTAGGAGACCCCAGACCTGTCCCGTGAGCCAGGGCGGGCTCCAGCAGCTGGGCTCTGACCTGGACCCCCACCCCCCACAGGGCTGGAACGCTACGCACATGTTCCGGGTGGCGGAGGAGTTCTTCACTTCCCTGGGGCTCCTGCCCATGCCTCCTGAGTTTTGGGCAGAGTCGATGCTGGAGAAGCCGACCGACGGGCGGGAGGTGGTGTGCCATGCCTCAGCCTGGGACTTCTACAACAGGAAGGACTTCAGGTTTAGACAGGGGGGAGGTGGCTCCGGGGTCCAGCCCGCGGCACAGGGAAGCTGGTTCCCAGGCCCACCTCTGCCCTGCCCCAGCACTGGCCGGGGGCTGGATCTATTCCAGGGCTGTCGGCATACGGGGCCCATTCCCTGGCCCTTCCTGCCTTCCCTGGCAGTTTTGACGATAGTCACCTCCATACCCTGGGATGGATGAAGAAGACCTGAGTAGTGTGGGCCAGGGCAGGGTAAAGGATCGCTTGCTTCCAGCTGCTTGTTCGAGCACCGTGACAGTGCCCTCCTTGGTCCTATCCCTCAGGTGCCGCCTCCCCAGTGCTCTGGCCCCTGCCCTGCCCTGTCCTTCACCCTCACCTCCTCTGTGCCCCAGGATCAAGCAGTGCACGCGGGTCACGATGGACCAGCTGTCCACGGTGCACCACGAGATGGGCCACGTGCAGTACTACCTGCAGTACAAGGACCAGCCTGTCTCCCTGCGCAGCGGTGCCAACCCTGGCTTCCACGAGGCCATCGGGGATGTGCTGGCGCTCTCGGTCTCCACTCCTATACATCTGTACAAAATTGGCCTGCTGGACCATGTCACCAATGACACGGGTATGGGTTTGTGGGCAGAGAGGCCCTAGCCCAGCCCCACCCAAGCCCTACTCCGTCCCACAGCAGGTCCCTGTTTGCCCCCACCCAGTCCTGCCCTCCTTGTTTCTGGTCACAGCCCTGGGTCAGGCAGGGTTTGGGATCCACTCAGAGGTTCACAGCCCACCTTCAGCCCCAACTCAACACTCTCCAATGGTCCTCTTCCAAGCAGGGCCCCAGAGCGGCCTTCCGTCCTCTGCGCGCCTGCCTCGCCTCCCCTCCCACCAGCGACCCCAGGTCCATCCTCTCCTAGCTAGACTCCCTGCTCCCTGACCTCTTTCTTCTCCTCTCCCAACAGAAAATGACATCAATTACTTGCTAAAGATGGCATTGGAAAAAATTGCCTTCCTGCCTTTTGGCTACTTGGTGGACCAGTGGCGCTGGGGGGTCTTTAGTGGGCGTACCCCCCCCTCCCGCTACAACTTTGACTGGTGGTATCTTCGGTGAGCAGACGGATAGGAAAGGCCTAACCCCAAGTGGCCCTCCCTGCCCTGCTGGGGCCTCAAGAGCCTCAGGAGCCTCCTGCCTCAGTCTTTGTCCCTTCCTATGTAAGGATGTCTCTGTCCTTTTACCCACCGCCTTCTCTCCTGCCCCAAACTCCCTCCTCCAGGAAGTCTTCCCCAATTCCCTAGGATGGGGAAGGGACATCTGGGTGAGAATGCCTTTCCTACAACAGCTAAATCATCCTGTGTGCAACACCTAGGCCCTGAGACAATTTAATCATCCTCTTCTAGAACCAAGTATCAGGGGATCTGTCCTCCAGTTGTCCGAAATGAAACCCACTTTGATGCTGGAGCTAAGTTTCATGTCCCGAATGTGACGCCATACATCAGGTACTATTGTCCACTGCCCCCCACCATCTGTCACGCCTCCAGTCCCCTCCTCCTGTGATCCTAGGTGTCCCATCCCCAGGGCTTGCCCCCGCATTCCTTCAGACCCTCAGGGGCCTGGAGTTTTCCCCAAGACGGCTCCTGGCCCAGCCTCTACCCTGACAGAAGCTGGATGGTGCCTGGCAAGGGACCCATTCCTGACCCCCCGATGCCCCTAATGCCCACCCTGTGCCTGCAGGTACTTTGTGAGTTTTGTCCTACAGTTCCAGTTTCATCAAGCCCTGTGCAAGGAGGCAGGCCACCAGGGCCCACTGCACCAGTGTGACATCTACAAGTCCACCCAGGCAGGGGCCAAGCTCCGGTGTGTGGCGGGAAGGGGGACAGTTGGGAGGCTGGTGAAGGGGGATCTGGAGGTGACTGGCGGCTCAGGTCGGGGCACCACAGGGCTGGGCTGATGCGAGTGCCTTTCCTTCCTCCTCCCTCCTTCTCATAGCAAATGTTTATTGGATGGGCCTTCTAGTTGGCATGGGTCAAGGCAAATGTCCCCTGCCACCCTCAGAGATCCTAGGCCCTGGAGTCTTACTGTGGCTGTTCTTACAGTCCAGTGGGGGGCAGAAGTGGCTGGAGGTGGGGCACGTGGACTGGGGGGCCAGTAGCGGACCCCACACTGAGTCGCCTGTGTCCATGGTCCCTGCTCTGCCTGCCAGGGAAGTGCTGCGGGCAGGCTCCTCCAGGCCCTGGCAGGAGGTGCTGAAGGATATGATCGGCTCAGATGCCCTGGACGCTCAACCATTGCTCGAATACTTCCAGCCGGTCACCCAGTGGCTGCAGAAGCAGAACCAAGAGAACGGCGAGGTCCTGGGTTGGCCAGAATATCAGTGGCGCCCACCATTGCCCACCAACTACCCGGAGGGCATTGGTAAAGCCCCGAGGAAGGGTGGGGTGGCGCTTAGGGGAGTCTTCGACTCAGCTCGGGGTCCCAGGTTACCAGCCAACTCCTCCCAGCTGATCCCTGGCACCCTGCCTCGAGGGCCAGGCAGCCTCCTGAGCTCATCAGCAGGGCCCAGGAGTAGGGTTGGGCACATCCTTCCCCAGCATCCAAGAGAGGGTGTGGCCAGATCTGCGGGCCCCTGGGGGCAGGGTGGCTGGGCACAATGCTCTGTGAGGTCACACTGTAGGTCCCACTCTTATTGGCCAGGGGGCAGTGGCTGCAGGGCTCTGTTTTCCTGCGGCCATGGGCCAAGGTTGGGCTTCTCCAGGACTGCCCAGCCTCCTCTTCCTGCTGCTCTGCTGTGGGCACCCCCTCCTGGTCCCCAGCCAGACAGCAACTCGCCAGGTGACAGTGAACCATGGGACAACCAGCCAGGCAACAACGAGCAGCCAGACAACAACCCACCAGACAACAACTCACCAGACCACCCAGAGCCCAAGTGGGACCAGATGGCAGATGGGCAGGGATCATGAGGGGGATGGGAGAGGCAGGGGCGGTGGGCAGGGGCTTCTGGTGAAACCACAGCCTGGAGAGTGGAAGGGGAGGCTTGTCTGTTTCCTTCCACTCTGTCCCACAGACCTAGTGACCGATGAGGCTGAGGCCAACAAGTTCGTGGAGGAATATGACCGGACGGCCCAGGTGGTGTGGAACGAATACGACGAAGCCAACTGGAACTACAACACCAACATCACCACGGAGGGCAGCAAGCTGCTGGTAGGAGCCGCCCCCGCGCCGCCCACAGACACGCAGAGACGCGCGGGCTGGCACCTGCTGCCACCGCCTTCCTGAAAACCCAAGTGGAATGTGTAAAACAATACTCGATTTCAGACTTATGTGGGCTTATACTCAACACCTGAACAATGTCCCTTTCATTATCAATCCATGTCATATTAGTAACAGAATCATTTGTACATAACTAAGTGACACTTAAGCCATTTTTTAGAAGATCAAAAGCCCCGTTGCCTCACCTGTTTAGCGGCCTTGCAAAATTGGGGATCTCAACCCCATTTTACAGATGGGTCTCTAAGGCTCAGGGAGGTCACAGAGCTGATCCCAAGCTGCCTCCATCCTAATGGCCTTTACGACATGGTGGTTTGCCCATTTCCACCCTGCCGGGATGTGTTTTGCTCAGCTGTAGGCGTCTGTTGAGGGACATCTGCTGTACGGGACATTATAGACAGTACAGGGTGAAGAGGGTCTTTACAGGCAAAGGTGGCAACCTGATCAAACTGCCCGCCTTGCCACCCCCCAAGTCCTCTCAGCTCCCCTCCTGCCCAGAGGCCACTCCAAAGCTCCTGGACCCTGTCTCCCTGTGCCCCTAGCTGCAGAAGAACTTGCAGATGGCAAACCATAGCCTGAAGTATGGCACCTGGGCCAAGCAGTTTGATGTGAGCAACTTCCAGAACACCACCACCAAGCGGATCATTAAGAAGGCTCAGGATCTAGAGCGGGCGGCGCTGCCTTCCCAGGAGCTAGAGGAGGTGTGTGGCATCGGGGGGAGCAGGGAGGCTCCTGGGGGAGTGAGCCCAGCGCAGAGTCTGGCCTTCCTGCTTGCTTTTCCTTGATTTATCAAGTCACGACATCTGCCGTGGTGATTTGTGCCTACAGAGTTACTGAGAAGGTGGCACCTTTGGGGAACGTGCTCCCCGGCTCACCCCGACACTCCATGGTGCCGGGCAGTGCAGGCAGCAGAGAGACCGAGAGCACAGAATTAGCACTCACTGCCTCTCTGCTCCCCCCTGCAGTACAACGAGATCCTGCTGAATATGGAGACCACCTACAGCGTGGCGTCTGTGTGCCACACGAATGGCACTTGCCTGCATCTGGACCCTGGTAAGCACGCGCCTGCGGGATAAGCAAGAGGCAGGGACTGGGGCTGACATGGTGTCACAGGTACTGCCGCCGGGTGAAGGGGGTGCGGTTCCCCTGACTCGTGGGCTCGGCATGCCCAGGAAGCTCACTTCCCTGTTCTCTACCAGTGGGGCATCTCTGTCCCCGCAGGGACCCAGCATTGACTTTACCCTGTGCCCTGGTTCCACACCCCTCCCTGGGAGCTGCCGTCAGAGTAACCGTCTCTCAAATGTGTGTGTCAAGGGCTTGGACTCCCAAACAGGGAGAGCCACATGACTCTAGCCCCTCCATCCTCCTTTCCAGTCCTTCCCAGCTCTTCCCACCTTCTCTGGCTTTCTTGGGCCCATTCCCCCAGCACATGACTGATAAGGAAACTGAGGCCGACAGGATGAGTCACACAGAGTTGCACAGCCCTGAGTAGCACCAGACTAGAACCTGGGCCTCCTGCTGGACAGGAGCAGACCGGCTCTCAGTCGGCCCCGCTTCTCTCTGCCCACTGGCTGCTCCTTCCTACTCTCTTCGCTGGGCAGGAGCTCCCCCTCCACGTGCAAGGACTTGGGGTCAGAGGCCCTCCCAGCCCGCCCTTTCCAGGGTTGGGGAGCTGGAGGAATAAACATTCTTCCCTGAGGAATCTCTACCTAGAAATGGGCTCTTCCTGGCCCTAGCCTAGCTCCCATGTTAGAACAATGACAAATAGAGGGGGGAAATGGAAAATAAACAGCAGAGAGAAACAGTTTTCCCAGGACAGGACTTGGACTATAGGTTGTGGATGTGGGTATGCACGCAAAGGCGGGAAGTGGGGGGGCATGTGTGTGCCTGTGTGTGTGTGTGCCTCTTGGTGTGTGTCTCTGCGTGTGTGTGCCCCTTGCTGTTCCCTTGTGTGTGTGCCTGAGTGTGTGCCCCTGTGTGTGCCCCTGTGTGTGCGTGTCCACGTGTGTGTGCCGCTGGCTGTCCCCCCGTGTGTATGCCTGAGTGTGTGCATGTGAGTGTGTGTGTGCCTCTGTGTGTGCACACACCTACCCATGTGTGTGCAACTCTGTGTGTGTGTCTGTGTATGTGTGTGTGTGGAAGAGCATTAAAGGGATTGTAGTGTTCAACCCCACCCCTCACCCCCAGCAGCCCCTTAATCCAGGGCTGGGCCATCAGATCATTGACCCAGAGCGAAAATAAGAAGCCCACAAAGACCAAAGACTCATCACCAGAGAGCAGATGTAAAATTCTCAAAATACATCTTTTTTCCAAACAAAATTAGTAGACTCTGCTTTCTCTGTGAAGAGTGGATATCTCGCAGCATCTTCCAAAATAGGGAGCAAGAGCCCATGTCCAGCAGTGGGGGCTGGACGAACCCCAAGTGCCTCCACCTCGGTCCACCTCTGGCAGGGCCAGGCTGTGAAGGGAAACCTGCCGTCACCTGTGCAGCGCCCCCAGCCCAATGTTCCCGATCCCAGCTCAGGAATCAGCTCCCTGTCAGAGTCGAGGAGGCCACCCACTCAGTGGCTCCAGCAGGACTCACACCCAGGATGTCTGGCTCCCTGATGCTACTCAGATGGTTCTTTGCACTTCATGGTCTTCACAGCTCTTCCTTCATTCAACCCAGTTCGGTAGCATGAGGCACACTCACTGCTCAGGGTTCTCGTGCTCCTTAGTGACATCCCCCTGGGAGGGCCAGTGTTACCCCCACTTTGTAGACAGGGAAAGAGTGGTCCCATGACAGGCTGAGAGAATATGGGGTCAGCGGGACGGCTGGAACCCACGTCTTTTGGCCCCCAAGTCATTTCTCCCAGGGAGGCAGAATGAGTGGGGACGGGCTCCGGAGTCTGGCACCTTTGGTTTGTGCCTCAGCCTGGCTGCTTCCTGGCTGGGGGGCCCAGGCACGTCGCCAGACTGCTCGTGTGGACAGAAGGACAAGCACCTGAGGTCATGTATATCCACCGCGTACGCTGCCAGGGGCCACTGGCTCCGTTCTCTCTCTCATGTCACCGGGGCCCACTGCGTGTACAGCCACGGTCTCGCATGTCACCGGTGTTATTCCAGCTCTGGAATTCCAGGACTGAGCTCCCGTAGAGCTGGGAGGTGAGCCAGGGCTGGGGCTCAAGCCACCCGCCCCCTCCCCCCAGATCTGACAAGTCTGATGGCCACGTCCCGGAACTATGAAGAGCTGTTATGGGCGTGGAAGGGCTGGCGAGACCAGGTGGGACAAGCCATCCTCCCTTTCTTCCCGAAATATGTGGAACTCACTAACAAGGCTGCCCAGCTCAATGGTGAGTCGCTCCTGCCAGCACCCCTGGCTCTCTGGTCCCTGGCCCTCCTTGAGTTTCTCAAAGAGGTCCTCTGCGACCCTAAGCATTGGAAAGACATAGNCCTCACCTGTTTAGCGGCCTTGCAAAATTGGGGATCTCAACCCCATTTTACAGATGGGTCTCTAAGGCTCAGGGAGGTCACAGAGCTGATCCCAAGCTGCCTCCATCCTAATGGCCTTTACGACATGGTGGTTTGCCCATTTCCACCCTGCCGGGATGTGTTTTGCTCAGCTGTAGGCGTCTGTTGAGGGACATCTGCTGTACGGGACATTATAGACAGTACAGGGTGAAGAGGGTCTTTACAGGCAAAGGTGGCAACCTGATCAAACTGCCCGCCTTGCCACCCCCCAAGTCCTCTCAGCTCCCCTCCTGCCCAGAGGCCACTCCAAAGCTCCTGGACCCTGTCTCCCTGTGCCCCTAGCTGCAGAAGAACTTGCAGATGGCAAACCATAGCCTGAAGTATGGCACCTGGGCCAAGCAGTTTGATGTGAGCAACTTCCAGAACACCACCACCAAGCGGATCATTAAGAAGGCTCAGGATCTAGAGCGGGCGGCGCTGCCTTCCCAGGAGCTAGAGGAGGTGTGTGGCATCGGGGGGAGCAGGGAGGCTCCTGGGGGAGTGAGCCCAGCGCAGAGTCTGGCCTTCCTGCTTGCTTTTCCTTGATTTATCAAGTCACGACATCTGCCGTGGTGATTTGTGCCTACAGAGTTACTGAGAAGGTGGCACCTTTGGGGAACGTGCTCCCCGGCTCACCCCGACACTCCATGGTGCCGGGCAGTGCAGGCAGCAGAGAGACCGAGAGCACAGAATTAGCACTCACTGCCTCTCTGCTCCCCCCTGCAGTACAACGAGATCCTGCTGAATATGGAGACCACCTACAGCGTGGCGTCTGTGTGCCACACGAATGGCACTTGCCTGCATCTGGACCCTGGTAAGCATGCGCCTGCGGGATAAGCAAGAGGCAGGGACTGGGGCTGACATGGTGTCACAGGTACTGCCGCCGGGTGAAGGGGGTGCGGCTCCCCTGACTCGTGGGCTCGGCATGCCCAGGAAGCTCACTTCCCTGTTCTCTACCAGTAGGGCATCTCTGTCCCCGCAGGGACCCAGCATTGACTTTACCCTGTGAGCTGCCGTCAGAGTAACCGTCTCTCAAATGTGTGTGTCAAGGGCTTAGACTCCCAAACAGGGAGAGCCACATGACTCTAGCCCCTCCATCCTCCTTTCCAGTCCTTCCCAGCTCTTCCCACCTTCTCTGGCTTTCTTGGGCCCATTCCCCCAGCACATGACTGATAAGGAAACTGAGGCCGACAGGATGAGTCACACAGAGTTGCACAGCCCTGAGTAGCACCAGACTAGAACCTGGGCCTCCTGCTGGACAGGAGCAGACCGGCTCTCAGTCGGCCCCGCTTCTCTCTGCCCACTGGCTGCTCCTTCCTATCGTATAACTTCGTATAATGTAGGGAAGTGGGGGGGCATGTGTGTGCCTGTGTGTGTGTGTGCCTCTTGGTGTGTGTCTCTGCGTGTGTGTGCCCCTTGCTGTCCCCTTGTGTGTGTGCCTGAGTGTGTGCCCCTGTGTGTGCCCCTGTGTGTGCGTGTCCACGTGTGTGTGCCGCTGGCTGTCCCCCCGTATGTATGCCTGAGTGTGTGCATGTGAGTGTGTGTGTGCCTCTGTGTGTGCACACACCTACCCATGTGTGTGCAACTCTGTGTGTGTGTCTGTGTATGTGTGTGTGTGGAAGAGCATTAAAGGGATTGTAGTGTTCAACCCCACCCCTCACCCCCAGCAGCCCCTTAATCCAGGGCTGGGCCATCAGATCATTGACCCAGAGCGAAAATAAGAAGCCCACAAAGACCAAAGACTCATCACCAGAGAGCAGATGTAAAATTCTCAAAATACATCTTTTTTCCAAACAAAATTAGTAGACTCTGCTTTCTCTGTGAAGAGTGGATATCTCGCAGCATCTTCCAAAATAGGGAGCAAGAGCCCATGTCCAGCAGTGGGGGCTGGACGAACCCCAAGTGCCTCCACCTCGGTCCACCTCTGGCAGGGCCAGGCTGTGAAGGGAAACCTGCCGTCACCTGTGCAGCGCCCCCAGCCCAATGTTCCCGATCCCAGCTCAGGAATCAGCTCCCTGTCAGAGTCGAGGAGGCCACCCACTCAGTGGCTCCAGCAGGACTCACACCCAGGATGTCTGGCTCCCTGATGCTACTCAGATGGTTCTTTGCACTTCATGGTCTTCACAGCTCTTCCTTCATTCAACCCAGTTCGGTAGCATGAGGCACACTCACTGCTCAGGGTTCTCGTGCTCCTTAGTGACATCCCCCTGGGAGGGCCAGTGTTACCCCCACTTTGTAGACAGGGAAAGAGTGGTCCCATGACAGGCTGAGAGAATATGGGGTCAGCGGGACGGCTGGAACCCACGTCTTTTGGCCCCCAAGTCATTTCTCCCAGGGAGGCAGAATGAGTGGGGACGGGCTCCGGAGTCTGGCACCTTTGGTTTGTGCCTCAGCCTGGCTGCTTCCTGGCTGGGGGGCCCAGGCACGTCGCCAGACTGCTCGTGTGGACAGAAGGACAAGCACCTGAGGTCATGTATATCCACCGCGTACGCTGCCAGGGGCCACTGGCTCCGTTCTCTCTCTCATGTCACCGGGGCCCACTGCGTGTACAGCCACGGTCTCGCATGTCACCGGTGTTATTCCAGCTCTGGAATTCCAGGACTGAGCTCCCGTAGAGCTGGGAGGTGAGCCAGGGCTGGGGCTCAAGCCACTACGTCGCCAGACTGCTCGTGTGGACAGAAGGACAAGCACCTGAGGTCATGTATATCCACCGCATACGCTGCCGGGGGCCACTGGCTCCGTTCTCTCTCTCATGTCACCGGGGCACAATGCGTGTACAGCCACGGTCTCGCATGTCACCGGTGTTATTCCAGCTCTGGAATTCCAGGACTGAGCTCCTGTAGAGCTGGGAGGTGAGCCAGGGCTGGGGCTCAAGCCACCCGCCCCCTCCCCCCAGATCTGACAAGTCTGATGGCCACGTCCCGGAACTATGAAGAGCTGTTATGGGCGTGGAAGGGCTGGCGAGACCAGGTGGGACAAGCCATCCTCCCTTTCTTCCCGAAATATGTGGAACTCACTAACAAGGCTGCCCAGCTCAATGGTGAGTCGCTCCTGCCAGCACCCCTGGCTCTCTGGTCCCTGGCCCTCCTTGAGTTTCTCAAAGAGGTCCTCTGCGACCCTAAGCATTGGAAAGACATAGGTCCCTGGAGGAGGCAGAGAGGTGTGGGGGAGGGTCAGGTGCTGGGAGACCGTGGCTGTGTCCCCTCTCAGGCTACCTAGATGCAGGGGATGCGTGGAGGTCCCTGTACGAGACGCCGTCCCTGGAGCAGGACCTGGAGCAGCTCTTCCAGGAGCTGCAGCCGCTCTACCTGAACCTGCACGCCTACGTGCGCCGGGCCCTGCACCACCACTACGGGCCCCAGCTCATCAACCTGGAGGGCCCCATTCCTGCTCATCTGCTGGGTGAGGGCATGTGCCAGCCTTGAGGAGGGGAGAAACGGACAGGAGCAGGTGTGAGGGTTGGGACAGGGTGGGCCAGAGGGCAGAGAGCAGGTCGGGAGAGTGAAAAGACTCGAGTCCTGGAGGGAATGTTGCCAAGGCTGGAGGGAGCAGGGAAGGTGGGGGAGCTCCCCGCTTGCCCTTGAGGCCACACGTGCTATAGATCCACCATGGGCAAGCTACCACGACGGGGGGCGATGTTCATAATCGTGTCATCATCATAATTTGAGGCAGTGTGATCCAGGAGGGTGAGGGAGGGGCTGTGCCTGGGAGCTGGGGAGGTGTCGCCAAGAGGTGACATGTGAATGGAGCCTTGAAAGGGGAGAGATTTTGACAAGTGGAACATGAGGGGCAGAGAGGACAGACACAGCGTTCAGACCAAGGGAACTAGAACAAAGAAGAACCTTGCGAATGTAGATCCACTTCAACTTTGGATCCTCATTTTTTAAGAGTTGCAAACTCAAATGCCCTGAATGCATGAAGTAGGCAGTGAAGGCAAAAAGTGTAGGCAAAGTAGAAGCTCCCAGTTTTCTGCACCTGTTGTGCCATCGGGAACACTTTCCTGGGGGCTGTGTTATTATGAGCAGAGAGACCAGACAGGGCTACCATCTAGAAACCATAAGGGAGACCCCAAAAGATGGTGCAACTGTGGGTCTAGCCTCTGCTCGGCCTGGAGAGTCATGACAGCCCAAGAGACCAGCCGTCCTTGATCTTTCTCTGGTGAGACCAAAGAACCTCTGGTGATGTCAGCGGACATCAGCTCAGTGACTGGGATACGCAGGCCCCAGGAGGGGAAGCAGTGTGGTCAGGGTGGGCTGGACTGGGGCAGAGCCAGGGCATAGAACTCAGCCGCCTGGTGACCTGTGAAGGAGTGACCCGGCACTGGCTCATTCACTCCCTCTCTTCAATGTCAGCTCAAGCTTGAGCTCCTGCTATGAAAGCATCTTGACTCCAAATCTATTTCTGACTTTTCCATCCATGCTTAATATCTTCCTTTTCTCCAGTCCCAGAGAATTTGGGCTCCTTTCTTACCCTAAACTCACAGGCATTTGCCTCTCCTGAAGGGGACAGTTGGTTCTTGCCTGAATTACTGACAGGTGACCTACATAAACCAACCTCAGGTTACGCAGAGGGGACACAGCAGAGTGGCTGGTCAAGAATGTGGCCTGACAGACTTTACATCCCGGCCCTATTGCTTAGGAGCCCCAGTCCCCTGGGCATGTTACTTAACTCTTCAGCCTCAGTTTCCCCTGCTGTGCAAGGGGAATCGTAACAGTGCCCAGTGCAGGCAGGGTTACAAGCTAATCCATGCAGTGTGCATGGCACAGTGCTCAGCAAGCGGTGGCCGTGCTGCATAATGTTCCAGGGACCTGCAGCTTCCTCATTTGTATACAGTTGCTGGTCACATTGGTCTTCGCTGCTCACGGACAGTGAAGACCACCTTGATTCCCTGATGACCAGTAAGGTCCTCACCTGTAACAGTGCGGTAATGACCTTGTGGGCTGGAAGTGCAGACTGAAAACGACATATGTCAGATGCCCAGCACAGTTTGCAAACAGTAGTTGTTACTCAAGAGACACCACTATGATTAGCAGGACTGGGATCTGGTTGTTTCTTCCTGCAGGAGGGCTGAACCTAAGAAGTGACATCCTTCTCTCCTCTCTTTGCCACCTCTCCCCCACCTGCCTCCAGGGAACATGTGGGCGCAGACCTGGTCCAACATCTACGACTTGGTGGTGCCCTTCCCCTCCGCCCCCACAGTGGACGCCACGGAGGCTATGATAAAGCAGGTCCGTGCCTGGTGCTCCTCCTCCATGGGTGGGCAGCCCCAGGGCACAGGGGAGGGAGGCCCCTGCCAAGAGAAGAGAAGGCCCCTTCCCAGCACCCCACTCTGCGGCACACAGTCTGTCCCCAGAGCCCCCAGTTTGGGAAGAACTCCCTCTGCTTACAGGGCTGGACACCCAGAAGGATGTTTGAGGAAGCCGACAATTTCTTTACCTCCCTGGGGCTGCTGCCTGTGACCCCCGATTTCTGGAACAAGTCAATGCTGGAGAAGCCAACCGATGGGCGGGAGGTGGTGTGCCACGCCTCGGCCTGGGACTTTCACAATGGCAAGGACTTCAGGTCTGTCCAGCTGGAGCCGGGGCCTTATCCTGAGCCAGTGAGCAAGGAGTTGAGCCAAGTCATGGCCCCACTGCCACTCCCCCAGCCAGAGCGAGCAGAGAGGCTGGGGTCGGGGCCAGAGTGTGGCACCAAGGGTGAAGAGAGTGAGCCAGGCTCCAGCTCGGCCCATGGCTCCTGGCAGGGAAAACTCATCCTCAAGCATGGACTGGCCCCATCAGCCTGGTCACTTGCTAAGTGCTCAAGGTCCCGGTTCTGGGTTTGAGCCCTGGGTGAGCTGGCCAGCCTCCTTCACTCTGGGATGGCCCCTGCGTATATCTGGTCCTCTCCCTGGGTGTCTGTGACACAGGGAGGTACGTGAGGACAGGGGGCTTTGCACAGATCCACTCTCACTACTGACAGAAGTTCAGAAGCTGTCTTCATCAGACCATGGTGTTTTAGTTACCTATTGCTGCATAACGAACCACCCCAGAAATTAGTGCTGTAAAGCAACCAGTTGATTTTATTCATGATTTTATGGGTCATGAATTCAGGCAATGCCCATGGAAGTGGCTTGTCCCTACTGTGCCGTGATGGATTCCTCAGCTGGCATAGTTCTAATGGCAGGGGTGGCTTGGCGGAGGCCACCATCCAGAGTCTTGGTTCTGGCTCTTGGTTGCGTTCCTCAGTTTTTCTGCACGTGGCACGCTAGGGCGGAATGTTTGAGTTGGCTTCTCCACTCACACACTGGGTGTCTGCATTGGGATGGCTGCTACAGCTGGGGTTGGTCACTCGTCTCCCTCACAGTGTGGCAGTCTCAGGCAGCAGATTTCTTACCTGGCAGCTGGCATCCCCCAGAAGCAACTAGGTCTCCTAAAGACTAAGTCCTAAACTGGCACAGAGTCATATCTGCCATATTTATTAGCTAAAGAAAGTCACAAGGACTACCCAGATTCAAGAGAGGGGTTAGAAGAACTGACCTCTTGGGAGAAGTGGCAAAGGTGATCTGCCACATCTGATGAAATGACTCTTACGAGAAAAGCAGACAGAGAGCCCAGAGCCAAGCCAGACAGGGTTCACTGGACCATCTGGCCTTGGGCCCTTCAAAGTCTTGAGAACTGCAGCTGAAGGACTGAGAGTTGACAGGATCCAGGGGGATGAGGGCTCTTGTGGGGATCCTCCCTTGACCCCAGCCTCACTGTACCCAGGATGCTGGGCAGCTCTTTCCCCCTCCCTTGGTGAGAATGACAGAAAAATGGGATGACCCTGAACTGAAAGGCTTCTGGTTAGATCTGAAGGAGAAGTTTCTGCAGTTGGAATTGGCATGCAAAAGAGAACAAGGAAGGACCAACAAGCAGAGGTGGAGCCTTCTGGCTTGGACAGCTGTGCAGCTGTCATTCAGTCCTGGCTGTGAGACTTCTCTGAGTGAGCCTGCTGCTGGTGTTGGGCTGCACGAGCTGCAGAATAGTACAGACACTTGTTTCCTCCAGAAAGCCCCAGTCTTGGGGAGCAGAAACATGTGCACATGGGAAACCACAGGACGCACATTTTAGAAAGTACATAACTGAGTGTCCCGATGTCTCTAGAGCAAGTACTCTGCACTGTCAGAAAGCAACGGGTAGTGCAGGCTGGAGTTATTCAGGAAAGTTGGAGGCAGAGGAATGGCTGGAATGACCTTGTTTCAGGGGCTTCCGGCCCCCAGATTCTCTCTCAGGCTCACTCGATATCACCTTTCTTGCATGCTGTGCTCCCTGCAAACAGAGGTGGTGGGGGCCTGCTCTGCGTGCAGCAAGGACCCCCAGTCCCTTTGCCCCCGGGGCTTCTCACTGTGGTCTTCTGTTCCCAGGATCAAGCAGTGCACCACTGTGAACATGGAAGACCTGGTCGTGGTCCACCACGAAATGGGCCACATCCAGTATTTCATGCAGTACAAGGACTTGCCTGTGGCCTTACGGGAAGGCGCTAACCCTGGCTTTCACGAGGCCATCGGGGACGTGATGGCCCTCTCAGTGTCTACCCCCAAGCATCTACACAGCATCAACCTGCTGAGTAGCGGGGGTGGTGGTTATGGTGAGAGAAGAACAGGAGACCCTGGTGGGCTGAGGGCCAGCAAGGGGCAGTGAGATTGGGAGGTGGGGAAGGGGCACTTAGCGGCCCAGGGGCAGAGGTTTGGGACAGCACAGTAGGGAGGAAGGAGACAGCAGCAGGGTTAGCCTGGAAAGATGGAGGACACAAATAATGCCCTGAAGCCGGTCACAGCACCCCCTGCCCCCTCCACCATCACGTCTGCTAGGACCTGGCAGGTGGCAAGCGTAGGTCTGACAGCCAAGCTCCTTCCCTTGGCAGAGCATGACATCAACTTCCTGATGAAGATGGCACTCGACAAGATCGCCTTTATCCCCTTCAGCTACCTTGTCGACCAGTGGCGCTGGAGGGTGTTTGATGGCAGCATCACCAAGAAGAACTACAACCAGGAATGGTGGAGCCTCAGGTTCTGGAAACTCCTATGGGGGTGTTGGTTGGGGGATCTCTGTGGGGGGGGTGTGTGTGGCTGTGTGGCTGTGGATGGGCCAGTGTGTTCTGTTTGTGTAAGATGTGTGCAGGGCCGGCCCGGCGGCGCACTGGATAGTGCCCCGCTTGGGAAGCGCGGCGGCGCTCCCGCCCGAGGGTTCGGATCCCACATACAGACCGGTTCCCGCTCACTGGCTGAGCGAGGCGCGGGCGCAACGCCAAGGGTTGCAATCCCGTTGCCGGTCCCGGTCCGGTACGGGGGCGACACTGGGGGTTGCGGTCCGTTGCCGGACATGGAAAAAGAAAAAAAAAAAAAAAAAGATGTGTGTGTGCGCAGGTGCCTGTGCCCATGTCTGTGTGTGTTAGTCCGTTTCCGTTGCTTATGTCATAAATACCTGAAACTGGGTAATTTATAAAGAATCAATATTTATCACATACAGTTTTGGAGGCTGGGAAGTCCAAAGTCCAGGGAGCACATCTGGTGAGGGTCTTCTTTGGTGGTGTCTTTACAGCAATACAGGGGTCTCACATGACAGAAAGTGGCAGAGCAGAGAGACAGAGAGCGTCTCGGGCTCTCCTTTTAAAGCCCTCGGAACCATGCCAATGACCACCATTAAACCATGAACTTGGGCCGGCCCAGTGACGCTGCTTGGGAGCGCGGCGGTGCTCCCACTGAGGGTTCGGATCCCATGTGGAGACCAGTTCCCGCTCACTGGCTGAGCGCGGTGCGGGCGCAACACCGAGGGTTGCGATCCCGTTACCGGTCAGTAAAAAAGACAAAAAGGAGGGCTGGCCTGGTGGCGCACTGCTACAGTGCGCCGCTTGAGAGCGCGGCAGCGCTCCCGCCGAGG